GATAACGGGATCAGGTGGCGGGTTCTGCTGGCCAGGTAGGTACTCTGTATTGGGGGCGGCGGGTCGGAGCAGAGACACATGGAATACTGGGTGTACTTTCATGCTATCAGGCAGTTCCAGTTGGTAGGCATGGGACGAGACCATCTGCGCTACCTTATAGGGTCCAAGGTTCTTCCAGTCCAACTTCTTTGACTGTCGGTTAGTCCGGATATTTTGGGCGTCGAGCCAGACTCGATCGCCTACGGCATACGCTGGGGCTCCGGAACGGGTCCAATTCGCATACTCTTGTTGCGTAGCTTGCGCCCAAAGTAGTTCTTCTCGGATGTACTCCGTCAGGTCGCGGATCTTGTCTATCATTCGGTTCGCATCTGCTACCTGTATGGCGTGATAAGGCGGCCTCGTTGTCTCCGAAGGGGGTTTGAAACCCATCCGGGGATGTTGTCCATAGTTAGCGAGAAATGGGGAGACTTGCGTTGATTCAGAAGTTGTGTTGTTGGCTTCGAATTGGGCGACTGGTAACCAATTAACCCAGTCATCTTGCTGATAGTTCGTGTACGCGCGGAGGACTTGTTCCATTGCAGCGTTAGCGTTTTTGGTTTGTCTGTCGGTCTGCGGGTGGTATGCGGAGGACAATCGGGCTTTGATCTTCAGCTGTTTGCACAGTTCGTCCCAGAAGGCGGAGACGAACTGGGTACCTCTATCGGATACTATTGTGTTGGGCAGGCCATGGTGTACCCAGACGTGTTGGTAGAACAACCGAGCTACAGCTGGGGCAGTTATAGAGGCGCAGGGGATCAGGTATTGGTACTTAGTCAGGCGGTCTACAACAACCATAACGTTTGTACACCCTTCCGACTTGGTGTGAGAGGGACCCAGCTGGGGATACCAACTGCTCTCTGAGATGAATGGATTGGTAGAAGGAGGGTTCAGGCTTGTTGAAGATAAGGGTGTAGAAGAGACTAAGTGTGGGGATACCACAAGTAGTGGGAAGTATAAATGA